TGTAGGGCCTTCGGCACTCATACTTCTGAACCCCTAACTTACAAGATCAAGCCAGCTGAGGCACCTGCTTTTAGCTCATTTAAAACCTGTTTCATCCAAGATATGTTTAAAAAAAAAAGAGCTGACAAGTTGAACGGTCCCTTTTTAATACAGTGAAAATTATCTGATCTCTCAAAAAACTCTTAGTTAGAATCAGAATGCAGGTGCAGTATATTGGTCTACATTGGGCTCACGTAGTCCTATCCATAACAAGTGACTGCCACAGAGCTGAAGGCCAGAAGCATGTTCTTTATAGGTCTGAAATCAATTACTGTATAACTACTGCAGGCTAAATATTACAATAGGCACTAGGGTTACAAAACTGACCACAGCCCAGCCCTTACTTTTAAAAGGAGTAAGTGCTCTTCTACCAGGGAACAGATGCTGATGTATTAAGTGCTAACTGCTATATGTACTAAGTGCTCTGAAGGGCAGTCTGAGGCAGAGTAGTGGGACAGCTCAGTCAAAAAGACTACTGACGTAAAGCAAACTGAGTGTTAACGATGCCAGAAACGGATGGCCAAGGGAAACCAGAAAGCCTCAATGTCGCTGCTTAATTTTATACTACTATCAAATCAAGTCTAAAATTTAAATGAAAATATCTTAGATACTAAGATAAGCAAATGTGAGTCAAAAGGAAAGAATGAGACATCTATTAGATGGTTTATTACTAACAGTTATTGGAGAAGTGATGCCTTTCACTGTAAAGATCTTTCCCATCAACTCCTCTAGGAAGCTGTTCCTGGTAGATTTAGGTTATCTTTTAACTCAATTCTGTTCTGTTACAACCACATTTATGTATCTGCTAGTGATCATGCTTTCCTCCTGCCAGCTGGTTTTCTAATTTTTCTGTTTCTAGAAACTTATAAACAGAAGAAAATCTGATAAAAATAACTTGATATCATGTGACGTGTTGACACATTAAAGGAATTGTTGTTCCTTAACCAAAATCATATTTCTATTCCTCAATATTTCTCTAATAGAAAACAAAGTTTATGTGCAATGCTTGAATGTCTTAATTTCATATACTATTTATTTTTATTTAAATATAATTGTACACATCTGTGAGGGAGTGTTGAGCTCAAATCAGGATATTTTTAGGAATGTACATACATTATTTCTACTTTTCATTTATAGAATGATAAGTTATCCTATAAATAAGAAAGCCATCTAAACATATTCTGATCCAAAATGTGGTTTATCACAAAATTTCAGGTAGTTTAAAGAAAAGCAATTAAGAGTTATGAAAAGGAAGACAAAGATGGAAAAACATATAGTCTGTCTTCCTTAGAAAACAACTTTTCAAATCAAATGTAATCATTCTAATAAATGCTGAATGACAATTATGGAGACCACAGGGATCTTCATGTGATATTTAAAAATTAAGAAAATAGGAAAGCTGTCTTTTTTTAAGAGTACACATTTTATTTTTTAATTTATCATTATACAATGTAGTTGATTTTCCTATCCTTTTACCAATTCCTCTTTAAAGCTGCCTTTTAAGACAGAAAAATTAGACAATATTTCACAGTGAAAGTTAGATAAAAGATTTTAGAAACTCTTAGAATTGTTCACTTAAAAAACTAATTCAGTGGTTCTGAATTACCTATGTAATTATAGGTTGGTTTTACCTGTGAAAACGAAATACAATATTAAGTATTAGCATATAACTAGCAAATTACATAAAGTAGTACAGCAAAGGAAGATGCCTTTCTTGATGTCAAAATGACTAAGAAAGGTAAACCTAAATTACACAGCATTTAAAGGGAGCCCACCATTTTTCCGTTTCATTTAAATCAACAGTCAAAAAGAGAAATGTTGGGAGTTATAGGACAAGACAAATGAGCAACCATAACAAGACACAAGAATCTTTAAAATATAATACAAGTGGAAAACCTAGCTCCTTTTAAAAAGTTTAGAACACTTAGTTAAAAGGCCACTATTCATAGGAAATAAGGGCTGGTAAGTTAACCTGAAAACAGCAGTTACTGTGATGGCTTTAAAACACACCTACAAATTCTTTGAAATCCTCTTTCCCTTCAAATGATGGCCAGACTTAGTGCCTCACTTCTAATGAAAAGAATGGTGGAAGTGATACTGTGTGGCTTCCCCAACTAGGTCACAGAGAGTACACAACTTCTGCCTGGTGCATGCACTCTCTCTCAGGGTGCTCGCCCTTAGAACCCAGCTACCATGTTGTGAGGAAGCCCAGTCCACATGGTGAGGCAATGTGTGAGTGCTGCTGCCAAGAATCCCTAACAGACCCCCAGGTGACAACAGCATCAGCAGCCAGTCATATGAAGGATAAGCCTGCAGATGTTTCCAGCACCTGACCTTCGAATCTTCCAGCTGAGTCCCCAGACATTGTGGATCAGAGACAAACTGTCCCTGCTCTGCACTCTCTAAATTTCTGACCCACAGAAACTGTCTGAGATAACAAAAGATTACTGCTGTTTTAAGCCACTAAGTTTTCAGATAATCTGTTTTCCAGTAATAGATAAAGCAGTATGGGTACCTAGAATGTACATGCACAAAATATGGAAGGATTGTTTTTTTCAAACTGGAAAAATAACTTTATACAAACCAATTATAGACTATCCTCCATTTCATAAGTTTAGAAGATTTTATTTACATAATACAATTAAACATCATTAATTTGAACTTTTCTAATTTGAAATCTGAGACAATTTAGACTAAATTTTAGACCGTTTGGCTGGATATCATTAAAGTAGCTCTGGAAAGAGTTTAGATAATCTATGCAAGAATACAAGAATACTGAAGCTAATTCAGAGAATAAATTGCTACCAAGTACTTTAAAAACATAGCATGTGGGAACATTTACTCTATTTTATGGAAAGATATGTTGCCCAATTCTAGAATTGTAATAAAGCCAACTGAGATCATTTAAAAAAAAAAGTATAGCACTCTCCACATAAAAAGCATTCTAGAGTTATTAAGAGTCAACTGAACACTAGACACCTCAAGTTCTTCCTAATCACTTTTTACATATTAATTAGTTTAAAATTCTATTTGGCAAATTGGTCAGTTCAGGGAAAATAATTGTGCAGACATACGTTTTATCTTTTCCTAATAAAAGGTGACCTCCCTGAGGGCACTCCTTGACTTGTTCACTTTGGCATCCTCCAGCAGGCATAACATAATGCTGTATGAACTTGAGGAATATTTATACAAATTATCAAACTACGGTGATGTACTTGAAAGCTAACTCACTTGTCATAATTCTTTTTTTTTTTTTTTTTTAACTAATTTGTTCTGCTCCTCACCATTACTCCAAATTAGTTGATGTTTTATATTTCTAAAGCACATACTGTGCACCTCTTTATTATGTTTCATGAATTTGCTGATAGTAAAGATAAGGATACAAATGTTTTCCACACATAACAGGTAACGGGTGGTGCTGAGAACATTCCTTCTTTGGGACATCTCACCCCGAAGCTCCGTCCTTGCTTGAGAGGACGGCGCCACCTGGGGCTGTGCAGTACAGCAGCCTGCTCATTCCCTTCTCTGGTTTAAGACAGAGAAGCCTAATTCATAAGATTTCCATTCTGTTACAGGCAGAGATTTATAAATCTGCATTACTTTAGAAAGATTACAAAGAGAGACCATTCTGCTTAGAACAGAAATGAAAAAAGACATCTAATTTTACTTTATTCCTCTAGTTTGGTCAGAAGAGATCAAACTTCTCTGCCAGTGTTCAGACTTACACTTCTCACATAAAGGCTTGCTTCTTTGAAATCAAGCAGTTCACCAATATTTCTGCCCATACTTACTCCCATGTAATTTCTGCTAAAAATAAGATATTCATAATTTCTTCAGTTTCAGTCTGAGATTTTTTTTCAGTCAGAACATGTGACTTGTAGTGACAAGACGCAGGTTCTGGTGCACTTTCTAATTAGTTGTCTGGCCCTAGATAAGCCATTTTAGCTCTCTGTCCTCTCTACATCAAACAAGGATAATAATATCTTTTGTTGTTGTTGTTAACCTACCTTCTAGGTAAACAGACATAAGATTATGTGAAAACATTTTGCTAAAGTTGCTAAAGAAACATAAGGTAAAATATGTAAGGTTTTATCATATTAACTATTTTCTAATATTTGATTGACATTTCTATAACTAACCAAAATAAAAATTGCATACTTTCAGAACTACAAAATTTAATAGTTCTACAAAATGAACTACAACAGTAAAGCTAGTCATAATAATAGATTCATTCACCCATGTTCTCATTTAATTATATTATGAAATAATAATTATAAAAATAGGTAAACTTTTGAAAATATTCCTATTTATTCTAGCTTAGGAATTCTTGCTCATATCGATGGATTGTCTGGCATCGGCCACTGTCTCAGGCACTCGAACAGTCATATTGTCCATAGATTTTTTCAAACAGATTTGGCAGCCCAACCGTGATCTGCACAAAAAAGAGGTGAGGTATGGTTTAGTATTAAGTATATATCATTCATAATTAATTGATATTGTTTCCAGTTGGATTAAAACATGATTACATTGTTTTAAATAAATCCACTATATAAGAAAAAAAAAGTACAGATTATTCACAAGGCAATGGAGTTGTTTAGGATATTTTTATATTTTATTACCCAAAGCAGTTAAGGAATTTATTAACCTTTAACATCTCCATTAGGTCAAAACAGATACAAGCAACTCTATCAACTAGAGGTAGCAGAAGGTAAATATGAAGAACAGTAACCCTCATGTACCAAAGCTTCATTTCAGCCTTTAGTTTCTATGATCTACTAGTTGTTTCACCAGAACTACAACTTTTTGGTGAAAGAAAGGGCTGACAAGCAGTAAGATCATCAGAAGGCACAATGGTGAGGAAGAGAACTGAGGTTATTAGCAAGGCCAAGAAAATAATTAATCAATTCCCAGAAAATTAAAGCCACACAGACTATAGAAGAAACCTACATTTTTAAAAGTCTTTAGAACAAGAGATTTGGAATATATACATAGATTTAAGTCATCAATTATAAAAGCATATTTTTCCCCCAAATTTTTAACATCTATGAAATCAAGACCCATCTTAACATCAATTGCATCCTGCAATCATTGCTACATTGGGAGGTGACAGTCATGTAACAACTGCAAATTTTGGCTACAATATTCACCCAGGTGTCTCTTCATCTGAGTTATGGGAAGTATGTTAATAACACATGTGTTAAATTTAATCACCTTTCAAATAAGTCCAAAAAGACTGCAAAACAAAAATTAAGAAGAATTCAGAAACACAGCAGGGGGTAAATTTGATATTCGTAAATATTCGTCATTGGAAAAATGACTATAATTCCTTTTCCCTCCTTTGTCCTTTGCAGAATTACTACCAATTTTATTTATATTTTCCATTTTTAACAGTGATAGATAATACAACTAATATCTAGGTAAGTACATAATTCTTTTAATATACACAAAATATGTTAAGTGATAAAATAACATTGTATCATATTTTAATTAGCAGTACTATTTTCTTAGTGGAACAAAAATAAATGTGAATCATACAATCAAAGTGTCTTCGATTTGATGAAATGTGATATGCAGGTCTTGGTGTCATTAATGTATTCATCAAGCATTGATTGAGCACCTAAAGGCACAGTACTAAATGTCAGTGAATATACAAAGAGGAGCAACTAAACTCAATGCTTTCTTATGGAACATCTCTTATGTGCTGGGCACCGGGGGTGCCATATGGAGATGGCATAGAGGTTAGAGCCAAACAGACCAGGGGTCCAGGATCCAGCACTTCCTACAGCATGTTCACAGGCAACTGTCTTAACCTCACCGAACTTTAGTCGCCTAACCTAATCCTCAAGATGGGTAAGAGAGTTCCTCACTGGACTGTTGCAAGGAGTAGTTGCTGAAGTCAGCATGATGGAGTGAACTTTCAATCAAATAGAAGAGATGAGACACATTTGCACATGATGAACATGGGAGCTTTTGACAGAGAGAGAAAGCCAAATGGCTCTGAGAGGTCTGAGAAGAAAGCACTTACTTCTGGCCAGGAGAGACGGTGTCTAGAATGGGTTTTGAAGAACTGGCAGGATTTAACATTTAGTAAGAGATAAAAGAAAAAAGCATCTGAGGCAAAAGCAATGGAATGCAGGGAAGTTCAAGGCAGGTATGAAGCAAGATAGATGTTGTGGCTTGGTGGCAGCACAGTATAACTAACACAGGACAGGGGGAGTGATGGGCTAGAAAGTGGACCAGGGCCACAGACAGCTCTGAAAAGTAATTAGAGAGTTTATGTTGTAATGTGGTGAGCAATGAGGAACCACTGGGAAGCTGTGGAGTAAGGGAACACGCTTAACCATGGGAAATATTGATTGCTGACAGAAAAAAATCCTCTTCTATCAATAGTTCTCATTTGCAGAATTAGAAACAGCCTCGACAATACTCAATTATGCATTAACCTCTGTCTGTAAGAGAGAAAATGTGTCAAGCCAATTTGGACAAATTCATTAGGACTGTGGTGAGCCCTGGAGAGATAGCTGGTTACTCTTGGTGCTCATATAAAGATAAGGAAGATAATGCTAGCCTTCAAGGAGCTGTTAACCTAGAAAGGGAAACGGGTGGAAACAGTTATCAATTGAACAGGGCAGAATACAGAAAGTGTAGTGACAGAGAAGTATGTTGTGGGAAGAGAGAGAGAGGTAGCACTGGGAGCTCTCGCTAGCTCTAGAAGATAAGGCAGCAGTACTCTGTGGTTGTTTTCTTGCTCCCCTACTTCCTCTACCTCCTCAGAGGCCTCTGGCTCTAAGATCTACCCAATACAGATAGTGTCTTACACCTCTAGAGGGACAGCAGACAGCAAGTCTTCCCTATTTCATACTACCAGT